GTTGGCACCAGAGTCCACAGGTGGCAAACAGCGTCCTGTCTTTGCTACAAGGCCATGGGCGTGTTGGAAGAATATCTGTTACATAGAACAGCACCAACATCCTAACCTGAAGCCGAGAGTCAACTGGGAATGTCAAGAAAAGGGCACGAAGAGTGAATGCTGACTCCTTTCGTGCTGAGCCGTGGAAAATGTGTAACAATAAATCAGTGCTAACAATGAATTCTCAGTCATGTAAAGGATAAGCGCGCCCATGACTTCTGAAAGGCACTCTGAATATTTCTGCTGGAGCGGCACCATAATCGGCAATGAGAGAAAAGAGCAAGTCCACACGAAAGTGTTTAGTCTTTCTCTCTCTCTCTCTTTCCCCTTTTTAACTCTCATCAGACAAAAAGCTTTTCCATGTAGTGGCTCAATTGCTGCAGCTCACGACCCTCTCAGAGGAGGAGGTAAGTGTCCGCCTGATGAAAATGCCCTTCTGGCCCACCTGTAATTTCGTTCAGTGCTGCTTTCTCCCCTTGCGGTTGCGATATCAAATCTAGCGGTCGAGCCAGAAAATAACTCTTTCACCCTGTCACCCAATATGACTTCCTCTACACACACGCTGACCCCAGAAAACCTAGACGACTCCAAATTGTGAGAACTTTTTGTCTGACAGCTGGTGATGTTAAAATTAGAAGTGACCTAGCTGAAGCTAGCACCTTTTGCTCACGGCTTAACTTGTAGAGGTTTAAGATGGGAAAAAATTAGCCATCATACACTTCCGCTTGCCAGCCACAACTTAGGTATCCGAGAGGGGTGGAGCTAACTGAGCAACCCAGTGATACTGCGCATACATATGCTAGCTACTTGCCAATCATACCAAAAGCCATACTTTGGTTTATTAGTAATGTGGACAGTAACTGACACTAATGGGAGCAGTATTTTTTCCATTTTAGCCATGGAAATCTTTTACATACTGTGCAGTCTATGCCAGCACACTTGAGTATAGCTACTACCCCCATCGGTCTCTCCCACTCACCTCTTAGCTCACCAAGCTCCACCCTTTGTCAACAGGGCACAGGCATGCTCACGAAAACGAAAAATATGCTAAACTCAAACTTCCAATAATGACTGTTTAAAGAGTTTTAAAATGCACGAGTGTGGTTTGTCTGTGTGTGTGTTTTGGGTTTTTTTGAACGTGCAAGAAGTACAGTAGTACTCACATGCCAAATGTTGGTATGTCTTGGCAGCTCAGCTTATTGGACTGTAACAACATATGGCATGCCAAACAGAGACTTGTAGCTACTGTATGTAAGAAACTTTTCCAAAAAAAGGAGTTATAAATAAGCAAAAACAGCTGGTGTTTACCTGCAGTACTTTATAGTCAGAGAATTCATTCAAGTCTAACTTAAATGCCTTCGACTCTGTTCAACCTGTGACTGGGGTTAAAGCGCAAAGATTGAAAACTTAAAAGCACCAGAGGTCATTTTTGGGCGTCCAATAATAGAAAACCTTTCTCTTGGCAGAATAATAGCTTTGTGACATCCAAGCCCCCCCTGTGGACTTCTAGAGGCAAACACACATGGGCTAAATGTCACTCAGCAGGGTCCTGTCATTTAAGAGAAATCAGATTTTCCTTCAGAATACACAAACTTGGGCCTGGCTGTGGTGCATGCTTTCTATCTGAACTTTCTTGAAAATTGTAGTCTCAAGGGAAATACAAATAAGAAATACATCCATAACCTGCTTCTTTATCCTTTTTGGGTTTTTCTTTGGTATAAGTATAAACTGCAACCAACTGTTCAGGCCCCGAGGGGAGTTTGTTTTGACGTTTGCAAACAGCAACGTGATGACATTTATCATGAATAGGGAGGGTGGTCTTGTGTGATGCAAAAATGGATACGGTGAGGGAAAATGCAATAAAAATAAATAAACTGACAGATGGGATCCTTCTGTGGTCCCAATCTAGAGGAAACCCACAGCTTTGCATACATGTTGCTGACCTGAATTTTGAAAACTAAACAAGAGAGTTCGCCTTTCCTCGTTTTATTTCAGCACTTAAAGATCAGAGACTAGATCTCCTGCAGAAAAAACTTTACAGACTAAAAGGTCATCAGGAAGTGTCCTCTCTGCTAATCAAACAGCCCTAATGGCAAGGTTTGATCTTTTACAATCTGCTGAGGCCAGTTGGGCAAATGAACACTGGGCTTCCTCAGCTTCCGCAGGGCAGCTTGCACCTGTCTGTCACTCAACAGTCACAGTCAGAGGTAAACATTCAGCTAAGTCTACAGTGATCTCGTCTCCTCTGTGTAATGTGTTACATTTACCTAAAATGTGTCGTGCTACAGATGTCAAGGCCCCTTAGTTGAAATGCCCGATCATAGAAAGTGAGGAAAAAAAGCCACAACCATCAAACTCAGTCACTCAGAAAACCAAATGTCTTGTCATGTACTTTAAACATTAACCAGCTTTGTAACCTTTGTGCTCTGACATACTCTGTGTTTGTACTGTAGAGCTAATTGAACAGAAGCCCCCTATTTTTGGCCTTGGGCGTATCAAATATAATTCAGCGATCAATTTTTTGGTCTTTTAACTTTTAACTTGTGGTCCGCATATTTGTGTATTTTCGTGTCCATGTTTTTAATTTTTTTGGATTGTTTATTTGTCTTTTAGTTCTTCTTCTGTACATTTTGTAAAAAGGCTTTGGAGAGCTATACGGCACGAGCAACTGAATCTCCAAGCAGCAGGTATCAATCTGCTAAACTGAGATTCAGAAAGTTAAATTAAAATTGCAAAACGCTGCAGGCATCCTGCAGCTGAGCCTTCTTTTTTGCATAATCCATGCCTCAACTGTCTCAATTTATCCACTTCAACTTCAGCCACATTTACACTTAATAATGTAGTCAGGTTTAATTACCAAAATTAATTAGGCACAGCACACTGGATTGTTCATTTGGATTCATATGCACAACCACTAATTGATTTTTTGATTAATTTATTTATTTGGAGAGGTTCAAGTTTAAAATTGGCAGATTTACTCTTTGCTGGCTGTTATTAAACAAGACTGCAAATAGAAAACAGCTGGAAATAGCAGCGCAAGATACATGTAAATATAGGATCTTTATACAACAAATAAATACACAGAAGCACTCACTTTTATTTAAGCTATTCCTTGCTCTTACTCCCCAGTAAAACTGCTCTCAGATGGCCTGGAAATAGGCTTTAATGCGCTCCCTGAAAAGGCTGAAATAGAAAACACACATCTGCCCTGTTTAGGTAAGCTGCAGTTGCCATGGTTACAGACGAGCACTTGCTAAACAGTTGTGTCAAGCCATCATTGAGACAGAGCACTTGAGCTGTGCACACACACACACACACACACACACACACACACACAAAGAAGCAAGCAGAGGGAAGCGTTGGTGTTTTAAAGTGAAAAACAAGGAAACAGAGAACGGGGAGATGTTGTTAGCAAAATGCTGCTGTCAACATACACCACCACTAGTCTCTGCACTCAGTCCACTGTGGGGACAATTTGAGTTTCATAATGTTTGACGGAAGATGAACAAAATGTGCCCCTTGTTGCTCAAGCCGGGAGCAAAACAACGTGATTTTATCACCTGTCACACACTCACACAGACTGTATGTAAAAGAAGGATAAAGCCACCGTGACATCATCCACTTGTTCGTGAAGTCCCATTTTGACACAACTAATATTGCAGACATTTATGTCTTAAACAATTATAAACAGGTGATTTGTAAAAGGGAGGGAGGTCATTTCAAGGCTGTAGCCGTATATTTAAACATGGGAGTCTATAGGAATGACTTGCTTGTGGACCCAGCCTCAAGTCTCAATTCTAAGTAGTTCTTCTTGGGTTCTTCTGATTTGGCATCTTTTTCCAGATGTTGCCACTTGATGGGTGTGTACATCAACTCAAATCCAGGGTCAATATTTTTATTTAGATTTAAAGGAACATTTTCTTGTAAGCACGACACATTTGAAGCACACTTTATAACAAAAAGACTTGACAAAGTGTTCTGAATCAACTGAAACATGATCAGCAGTTTAGTTTTAGCCCACAAATATGAACTAGGCGGATCATTAATATTCCACATCCCATCATAACAGTTTAGTGTACAGCTCGCCCGGCGTTCAAGATTAACAACCTCCACACGTCGAGCCAACTGGAGATGCTGCACCGCATTTAAGGGGGTAGTTGAAAGTGGGATCAAGCCCGAAGCACTGCGTCAAGCTCTGGCACAGTGCTCCCACTCATATCATCTCATTTCATCACTCCACAGTCGCAGTACTTTAAATGCTGAACATTTACAGCCAAATCATTATACAGTGTTGAGAAATAATAAGAATAAACCTATAAAAAACACCACAGCAAAAATATCCCTGATTGGATATCGTGTGGCAACATAGTTCAGTACACAAGATGATAACAGGTGTTTAAGGGATGTGTTCTCCATCTAACCCTGTGAGCAGACACACCAGGCACCATTGCATGACCAAATGCTATTGTAAAATTGCACATGTCCCTCCCTCCTTCCTTTCTTTGGCATCTGTTTCTCTCTGCTGTCCGAGGTTATTATGGGGTGTATGACCTTAATACATGCCTTAAATCTCTCTGCTTTGTTGCCCAGGCTTTGTTTGGATGTGTAAGCCTCACTGTCTGAGAGAAAACCTACCAGGAGATACACCCAATGATACATTTATGGGTTTAACAAGCAAAAATAAAAGCAAGGAATATTCACACATGCCCAGTTTGTGCCTGGTCTGACGCAGGCTCCTCTGGCTTGTCCTATAATAACAAATGTTTTTCTCAAGACAAAAATACTACAAGGGAGCTCAACCAAGTGAATTGCTGTCATCAGTGAGCCTGGGAATGATTATGATGGGCTGTCACGCTTCATCTCACCGACATCTTAACCAGCGGCCTGCTACGTGTAAGCCTAAGTAGCTGAAGATGTCAATCAAAAAGTGAACAAAGGATGATGGCTGAGAATGAGCTTACCAGGACTCTTCCTGTCAACGTCTGAGCAGATATCATGACTCCGGCCCAATCTTTGACCGAGGTCATCCAGCCCACCTCGCTGGCCGCAGCATCATCCTTGTCTGTGCGTTTAATACCATCGCCTGTGGTGATCCGATGGACCTCCTGAAGAAATATAATGACAAAAACAAACCCCAGTATTGGTTATCAATTGCTGCAATACAGTAATTGAGCCCTTGAGCCCTATAGGTCAATGCTCTGACCTATAACAAGTGTAGCTTTGAACTCTTTTGGGTGTCAATCAGGAAAAGAAAACACATATATGTCAATGGAAAACCAAGGACACTGCGTGCTCATAAGGTAGCCACACATTTAAGCATACCCTGCTGTTTAGTTTACAATAATTGTGACAATAATTTGCATATTAACTTATGCTGTTTGAGTTGAGAAGAAAGAATCCAGTGATTAGATTTACAGAGCCAGTAAATCAGGTGAGAAGTTATTTTTCTTACACTTGTAAAATCAGAAGATCTTTTTGCAACTAGAGGGGTCACATCCTGCTGGGCTTTAAAATACCAGGAGGCTACATCCAACTTTGATATACAATTTCTAGCTGCTGCCATTAATTAGATTAACTGTAAAATCTGTAATAAATAAATAAATAAATAATACAAAAGCACAGAGAAAACCCCAACAATCAGATGACCCCATAGGAGCAAGCACTTGGCAACAGTAGGAAGGAAAAACTCATTTTTAACAGGAAGAAACCTCTATGGAAACCAAACCACACCAATGCATGGTGTGTTGTGATGGCAAGTTTTTACAATATACACTGATTATTAATAGGATAACATTAGATATTACGTTAACATTAACTCTTACCACCTACAGAGCCCTGAAATTTATTAACAGAATTTGGTTACAAAAAGTAAAACACATTTCTAATCTAGGGACAAGGTGCAAGGCCTTCAGAACAAAGCTAAGCACACATGCATACAGTAAACATACACAGACAGCAGTAAAGAGACTCCAGGAGTGTATCCATGGCAGCCACTGAGCTCCTGGTGTTTCTGCTTCACTGAGTGGGCTGCCTGCCTGCCTGCCTGCCTGCCTGCCTGTCTTTCTGCCTGCCTGTCCATCTGTCTGTTTGTCTGCTGGGACTGGCATGATTCACAGAGCAGGAAATCGAGACAGGATGCAGAGGTTAGCCATGCTCCCTGATGAAACACCCCACAGCCCTGAGGCCAATACAGCTCAGACTCTTTACCTTATGACATCCTACTCCTCTTCCACCTTAATGGTGTCACACATCGCACTCTCTGAGGCCCGTTCCCTTCAGCTGTTCTCATCAAATACAATTTGCTGATGCCGCGCATGTACGGGAGTTGGGGAGAGTTAACTATTCATTGTTCTTGTGGGCAAATGGGCATGACATTTTTACATTACAGTTAAAAAACTAATTAAGTGGAAACTGTCTGCTATTATTTAGAGGGAAAAAGAGAACAAAAAATATATTGTTATGAGCAGCAGAGTCTCTAGGTTTGAGGTATGTGGATAAAAATAGGTAATTAAATGGTTAAAGCCAATCATTAATACTCTACGTGTATCAGCTTAGAGCTGCAGACTTCTCAAATCAACAAATGACTACCTCATTAAGGGCCTTTTTTTTAATAAGAGTTTTTAAATCACACCTTATGACTCAAGCATTTGACTAAAAATAAACCAAAAAGTCCCTGCTCAGCGTACTGATGAGGCATGTCTCTTCAGGGGATAAAATCCACTGACATTTTTTAAATTGGCCAGAAATCCTGAGTAAAGACCAAAACTAACAATGAGCTCATTCCATTAACAAGTATGCTGTGTACCTTCCTGACGTCAAGCTTCACTGGTGGTCCAGTAACACAGAAAACGAGGCGCACGACAAGTAGGTGCACACCCCACCCCCGTTATGATCACCACTGCACTGCTGCCATAAATACTCAGTGGAGGACGGATGTATATTAATCAACGATTGGAAATAGTCCCAAACAGCCATTCTGTAAATTCAATTTGCGTAATGTTGCCTGGGGAAAAAACCCCAGCTGCAATTACTGAGGCCTTTTTAAAAACTTGCGCTTTATTATGCTCGTTAAAGATTTACATCCTTAGAATTCAGTCACCGTGAGTCAGAGTGTCGCAGAGAGGGTAGGATATTAATCAAGAATCATTTAGGCTTTGTTGTTTGTCTTTTGTTTGGATTGATTGAAAATGTAAAAGAGTGAGTTACCCTGACTTATCCTTTAACAGAATAAATTGGCTGTCTTCAGCATATACGCAGGGTGTATGCAGGCAATTCTTGCAGGAGACGATGTAACTGGCCCTGTCCTTCACATTGAAATCTGTGGCTGTCATCAAAGTAACAAAGCATTTATTTTTGTAAAAACAGTCACCATAGACATTTAATATACGTTTTTTTTATTATTATTATTTTAAATGGCAATTCATTAGTAAATCACTGTTTTCTGTTATGAACACCTACTAAAGAAGTGAAAACAGCCTATGTGATAGTTCCTGGTATAGGAGGTGTCATCGGGCCCACGTAACTGTGAGATACTGAGGAAAAGGGAGAAATAAGTAGCACAAGTGCCCCTAGAAATAAATCTCAAGCAAGTTTAGTCATAAAAAAAAATAGCCAAAAGTCAAGTACTGATACTTCAAACATCTGCAGTGTATTAATTGTGTTAACGTGTGCAGTTTACATAATTTCTGCCTATATTCAGACCACACATTTCAATCATCCTTCTTATCGTAACTGAATAGTTTGCTCAGCAAAGAAATTCAATCATGTACACAGCCATTAAACCGCCGTCAGCCCATGTTAGACTTCCTGCAGCCTGTCCAGAGCCCTGCAGCTAACCTGATAACGCCACAACAACATGTCCACTTCACTTAGCAGCTAATGCAGCCAGCAACCAATTCTGTGAAACTCCAGTTTAGAAATGTCAGCCAACAGGTATCAGCTGTTTTCATACAGATACCGAGTCTCATTCTGCTTTATCTGTGGACAGTTTCTTACAGAGGCGCTTCTGCAGCAGGGTCTTGCATTGTAAGCCAAGCTTCCAACACTTTCCAAGGTTACATCATTTATTTAAAAAAAAAAATCTTATCAGATTGGTCTTGAAACAGAGACTTTAGGGGAATTTAAGTTGAATCTCACTTCTGAATCGCCTTAAGGAGATCACGGTGACTGGATAAGACTTGGGTAAGGGACTGAAAGGGAAAAGAAAAAGCTGTTTCACTTGTCAGTCAGCAGCCTCTTCAATTAGTGTTACAGTAAAGTGTTAAGCAACAAAGCTATGGAGATCTAAGGCCATGGCAGTAAACTGAAAAATGTGGTGTAGTCTAAATTGTTTGGCTAGGAAATGCTAAAACGTCCAGGTATCCCTGACTGCAACCTGTGATTTATTAGTTTAAATGAAAACTCTGGAATAGGTATAGATTTTATTGGTTTCATCAGAGTTAAAGACTGACTTTGATTGGACGCAAGCTGTAAGCTTGGGTTACCAAGGGTCACAATAGCTATGAGTCTCTAGGATGTATGAAACACAATGTGTCGCATCACAGTCTAAAGTTTAATGTGGCGCGAAATAAGAATTATTATTTATAGAAATGGTAGTTATTTAAAGGAACTATTACTTTAGTCTGCCACACAGTTTACTTATCTTCAGATACTTTACCTCCAAGCCACAACAACTGATAGTACAAGTAGCTTATTAATATTGTAAAACAGCATCCTAGCTTCCCAGTTAGCAACAGTCATGTTTAAGTATATCGTAAGTGTAAGTGTATGTAAATATATGAAACATATGCTTACTGGCTAAAAAAGTTACTACCTGGATTTAACTAATCAAAGAGATAAGAACTTTGCATTGGATAATCACTGCATGATTCCATGTTGGAAGACAACCCACTGTCACCCAACGGCTTCCCTTTTAGAAGAGTCGAAGCTAAAAATTCGGTTAGAACTCTCCAATATGCTAATTATTAAAACCTGGAAGGATAGTGGGCTCAATGAGTTTACCTGAAACCTTGGCTGATTATGACCCACACCCGTTCCTTGGCTTGTGTGATTAGGTAGAGGCTCAATAGGGGGTCCATGACCCTCGTAAGGACATTCCCATAGGGCTTAAAATCTGGGACTCTCCACCAATTGCTCTTAGAACTGAAAAAGCCTCTTGGATGAGAGGTGAAACGTCTTTAAGGAAACTTAAAGAAGCCCAGACGCTTTTCTTTTCCAAGCTCCTTAGACTTTGATGACCTGGTTGACTGAGAACCTTCGCAGACATACTGGAACAATAGTGGTGAGCCATCATCTCACAAGCAATGTGGACGAAACAGCTGTGTAGCCTTAAGAAAACCATTTATCAGTGAGCCTAACTGGATTAAAAGAAACACTTCAACAAACTGGACTCGTAGCAATGAAAAAGAAGTCGTGTGGTCCAAATTTACTATGTTCCAGAGTGATGGGCGTATCAGGGTAAAAAGAGAGCCAGATAAAGTGATGCGCCCATGCCTAATGCCTACCCTACGAGCGTGTGGAGGCAGTGTTATGATCTGAGGTTGCTTCAATCAGTCAGCTCTATGTTCAGCAATGTTATGTGCTCAAAACTGAGGTCAGCTGTCTATCTGAACATACTAAATGATCAGGTTTCCCATCAATGCCTTTTGCTTCTCTGATGGCACAGGCATATTACAAGATGACAATGCCAGGATTTTTTGGGCTCAAATTGTCAAAGAGCGCTCCAGGGAGTATGAGACACCATTTTCACACATGGATTGGCAACCACAGAGTCCAGACCTTAATCCCATTGTGAACCGCTGCGATGTGCAGTTTAATGCTTTACGTAACGGTCTGACTCTCCCATCATCAATATGACATCTTGGCAAAAAAGTTAATGCAGCTCCGCACATAAATAAATGTGACACAGCAAATGCAAGCTATCGTCAAAGCTAACGGCAGTCTGACTAAACATTAAGAGTGTGAGCCTCGTTTATTGGCCAAATCTAAACATGTTATTTGTCTATAAAAACAACTAAAACATCTACACAGAGTGTTCCCATAAACTGTATATGAAAGGAAAAATTCTTTGCATAAAAACGGCACATTGTTATGGAGAATGACGCTC